TGACAGCGTCCCCCACTAAATTTTAACACCCCTTCCATGTATGTAGTATGCCATCGTATATACAGGATGAATATATCTGTATCTGTGGGTGGAGTTGACTATAATAGAGTGAAAGACTTTAAGCAAGCATCGCTATCACAATTGCCATCGCCATTGCCAGCACCATCGCCATCTCGGTATTAAGTTGCAAGCGAAAAAGTTTACTTCGAAGGGTGTGCTCCGTGTAATGCAGACGAAAATGGAAAATTGGAGCACAGCCATTGCAGCAGCAGCTGACGATGCTCCCATTTGCCTCGAACCACTCGCATCTTTTCTCTTCATCCCATTTGCAGCTCCACAGGAAGTTCCAGTTCCCCCATGAAGTGCCATGCGATATCCTCGGAGCAGTTTGGTCAAGTTCCCACGGCGAGCAGATATAAAAGCTTTCAGTTCTCAGCTCTCAGCATCTAGTAGCCAGCATCCAGATACGAGTACTCGTATCAGTATCAAAATATTTGGTTAATTCGATTTTTAGCTATGATTGTCCAAACGCAATTCTTGTTGATATCCAATACTCAAGGGTTGTGACTGGACATCGCGGCTCGAAATAAGAATACAACCCATCAACCAAAATCTAATTTAAGCGTACTCAATATCCAATATCCTAAATCCAAGTAAATGTGAAACACAACACAATTTAAATTCGACTTTAATTGAAATTATATTATCTAGTATGAAAATGTATTCCTGCAAACATTCAATGTATTTGTTTACAAAGAAATAAAAGCAATTAAAATTGTATTTCCATTTTCCAATGAAAATTAATGAATGTTTACTGAAAAATGTATAAAATATTGTTCAACAAAACTTAGTTCAAAGCAGGTCAGGAATCTACAAATTATGTAAATATTAAATATTAAACTTGAAATTTCGCGTACGCAATTAATATTGATCTAAGATTTAACCTAACTAAATTTTAATTTATTTTTTAACCAGACATAATAAATCAGAGTAAACCCATTCATAATTGCCTTAAATTTACTTTTAGATTAAAGCTGTCAATGCAGAAGAGGTTTTTCTTGGGCTTAGTTTTCAAGTTCCTGTGAGTCGGTACCTGGTTGTTGGTGAATTTCGGCGCCTTTTGCTTACTTTTACAAAACGATCCACTTGGCGAACATTGTTGGCCAAAGCCAATGGAAACCAGAAAGTTGAGAGTAATATATTTTCTGTAGGGAAACAGGACAAGAATTTACATCAGTAAAACTCGCAATATGAAGTGACTAGCTGCAAGGGAGGCGGAGAAAAAGTCTCTCATAAAAAAAAAATATTTTGTAAAAAATATGTGCCAAGCATCTTTTGACAAATTATGACTTCGGTGATGTTCTGCTGTTCTCTCCACTCTCCACTGCTTTTCTCTCTTTCTCTTCTGACGGCTTTGTTTTTTTCGAGAAAACAATGGCTGGAAGTTGCCATGACAGCGTTGCCACATTATACAACAAGTGCTCGAAATAATAAAGTTAACAGCACTTTAATAGTTCGCTCATGGCAAGCCCCCACATGCCCTTTCCATCATCAAGAGTGGATAGGAGGCGACTTTAGCTGGAGGAGGACCATGAGCAGTGCCAGTGCCAGTAGCAGGAGCAGGAGCAGGAGCAGCGGCAACATGTTGCCGGGCAACGGCAACGGGCATAAATGAGGGGCTTATCCTATCGAGCAGCACAACTTGAGCAATAAAATTGCTTTTATATACGAAGCTTCAGAGCAGAACAGAGCAGAAGATGAGCAGATACTATAAAGGAAGGCAGGGAGCAGATCGAGGGAGGAAGAGGAGCATTGAAATATTCTTGGCATGCTCAGATATACAACCATTTTTGGCGCTGGGGTTCGGGAAGCAGATACATTTTCCACTTTGATTTTTGCGCTTAATAAAAATCAAATTTAAATGCGGCTGACAACGCACAAGGAGAACAAGGAACGGAGAAGCCTTCAAAGTGCGCCTGCCACACGTCATGTATGAAGCGACGAACTCCATTCTGGGCCAACGATGGAGGCATTTATGGCCAGCTGATGACATGGTTGTGTTGCCATCGATGTTTATGTTGCTGCTGCTGCTCCTGGAATGTAATAAAGCTAAAGCGTCTTTTTGGTTCTAGACTCTTTCGACATTTCCACTTTATGGCAGGGACATAAAAGGAAATCAAAGGACTCTAAGGCAGGCTCTGCTGCTTCGCTGGGCAAGTCAACGAGTCAGCCGTCGCACTTAATGGCCCTGACCAGACCAGAGAAGAAGCGCAAGAAAGAGAGCGGTGGAAACGGGAGGGAGACACACACAGAAAGAGAGAGCTAATAAGCTGTGTGCCGCATCGGGGCGTATGCTTAATATTTTGAGCCAGTTGGCGCTTATATAAATGGCGTTGCCCTGAGAAAGAAGCAAAGCGGAAAGTTCTGCATAAATTCAATTAACTAAAAACATGCAAATGAAAACTTTTTTTGGGGAGGGCGACAAAGCCGCGGGCTGCTGCCCCATCAGCCGGGGCGGAGCCGGAAGCTGCCACAGAGCGAACCGAGAGAAAATGCAACTCATTCAGATGCACAAAAGTGGCAATTGGAAGTGGCCGCACTTGACTCGACCCCAGCCCCTCCTTTTCCCTCTCTCTCTATCTGGAGGCGAGGGAAATGTTTTCTAATTATTTCGCACTGGCAGTGCCTCCTCCGGTGGCCATCCTTCAGTTTCCGGCAGGCGGGGGCAGGCTTAGTCAACTGTATGTGTATATGGGTGCACGAGGTACGAGTATCAGAAATATGAAATGCAATAATGTAACGAGTAATTGCGCAAAAAGTAATAAAGAACGCGCAGTTACGCAAAGGGAGGAGGCAATGTGGCACGGTACAATGGGTGGTCAAAGACCATGCAATCTGGCAGGGATAAGAGCAAGGACACTGCTGGGGGGGCAGGGCCAGGACCAAGCGGAACGAGAAACGGGCATCGGGCGTTGGGGGTAACAACAAAAGTTGTCAACGACAGCAACGGCAGCAACTAAAACAAAGCCCCGCCCGGGGGCAAGTGCTCGTGGATATGGGAGTGCGAGTGTGGGCCTGGTGTGGGCGTGGAGCGTGAGTACGTGCAACGTGGCCACAAAAAGTTCAAGCGCCGCTCACGCGCCCCAGCCACGTGATGTTGTTGACTCTCCTCGTGCCTGCACCACCCCCTTCCAGACAGCCAGTATCGTCCAAAAAGGATATTAATTTCCCAAAGGTGCCGTTTTTGCAGGCGAAATCACGCAAAATGCGACTGGACCGAGGCGGGTTGAGGTACAGGGGGCACGAATCAGGGGAAAACAGCAGAGAAAGTGATGCCACTTCCACACAGAAGATCTCATGCTCTTCGAATTAGAGCCAATCATTTTGAGCTCAAATGTTTCATACTAGAAGGATTTCTTCTGAAAGTTAATAGATTTTTATCTATAACAATTAGGTACGTGTATCATATCATATCATATCATATCATATCATATCATATCATATCATATATATATATACATACATATATAATCAAGTTAAAACTAACCGAATCTCTTTAAAAGCTCTATTCTAGCACCCCAAATTTAGTCGTGAGCAATATAAAAATACATTGTCTAACCTTGCATTAACTTTAACTAAAGGAAACCTAAAAAACCTGACACCTAAGTGTACCTCAAAATCGGAAACTGCCTAGAAAAGTCATTGGACTTTCCCTCGATGGAATATCCGAAACGTGAAATAAAATTAAAACGCACGCACACAAATTAAAAACTTTCAATAGCAACAATTTTCATTTTAAAATTCAACACCATGCGCGGGTACAGGGTGCTGGTGGAGAGCAGGCCCGGATGTCAGTGACAACAGCGAGGGGGCTTTGGGAGCAGAAGCACCATAGCCTGGTGCTGCAAACCATTTTGTTGATGGCAATTGAAGTGCCACCGAAGCGGGGGTGACAAACCGATTTATGAAAACTGAAAAATATCCATTGTAATTTGACTATGCGAGTGGCACAGGGTCCTGTCTAGGGATAGGGATTGGACGCGAAGCAGGGCCCTGCCTGCCTTTAAGGGAGCGCGCAACAATTAAAACTATTTTGGCCAAAACAATATCGGGGTTGTTGCCAACGCTGCCAGCTTTTGAAGTTGTTGCTGTTGCTGGTGCTGTTGTTGCTGTTGCTCGTTGTTTCCTGCTCGTTGCTGCCGAACATTTTATTAGAATGCTGCTGGCGGGGCATGCCCTAGGGCCGAGGTCAAACCGCATCACGCAAGGGCTGGGGAAGATACAAGACAAAAGCTGATTACTTGCTGCACTGGCTGACAGGACATGGGCCGGGCCGGGCCCCGTAGACATAGGGATACGTAGGGATACAGTACTGGCTATACCCTTGCCAGAAGGTTAACCGTACTGGTACCAACAATTTTAAAAGCCATTATCTCATCCTATTTTTGCAGTTTGTACAACTCAGCATTAAGTTCAAATAAAGCAACAGCTAAATTTAGCCAAGAATTGATTCTAGCCATTTATGCTGAAAAAACCTTAAAATTAAAACGAATAGATTGGAAAGTCAATTCATAAAGGAGAACCCTTCAAGTATATCTCATTATTACCCATCTTTCTGCTGCGTAGGGTATGATATCTTCGACTCTGGGGTGAGAAGTGTCTCCTTCTTGTTTTGTCATTGCTGCTGTCTGTTTATTGTGCCAGCACTGCAGAAATCCAAGGCATGTCCTTTGGCCAGGGATAAACTGCAATGGCAGCAGACACGGACTCGGACCCGGACCCGGACCCAGGACACGGACACGGACACAAACGAGGACAATGCGAATCCGAATGCGAATGTGATTGTGAATGTGAATGCGGATGAGAAGGAGCTTAGCAAAACAACAGCTGTTGGCAGCACTCTTTCGAATTTCTTTGCTGTTGCCAATGGCAATCGGAATTTATTGCTTTAAAACTTAATAAACGATGGAAAACAAGAGTAAAGCCTATAAAGGCTATATTCATTTCTCGCCAGAATCGTCCAAATCCTGCATCTTGTAGCCGGCTGGAGGTGGGTCAATTAGCAGAGTGGTCGCTCCGTCTTTCGGTTCGCTGGAGCAGCGTCCGGAGTAGGGGCCCGCAGGCGGTACCTTGCCACATTTCAGATCACTCAAAATGGACTCGAGGCTTACCTCGGTGAGATCCTCGTACAGGTCGTCGTTGATGGTAACTACGGGCCCGTTCACACAGGCCCCCAAACAACAGTCGACTTTCAGGCTGAACTGCATGTCCTTGCTGGTCTCGCCCGGCTCCAGGCGGAGCATCTTCGAGCACGCCTTCAACAGGTCGTCGCTGCCGCGTAGAAAGCACGGCGTGGAAGTGCAGACGGACACTACGTACATGCCGCGCGGCTTCATGTGGAACATTGTGTAGTACTTGGCCGTTTCGTAGGCCTGCATCGGATCGATCTTCAGCACCTCGGCGACTGCCACCACGGCCGAGATCGGCAGCCAGCCATGCTGGCGCTGAGCGATGTCGAGGAGTGGCAATAGTGCGCCTTGACGCTCCGCTTCTGGGTACCAAGTGAGCAGGGACTCGACACGGGCCTTGTTCTCTTTGGTGAACTCAAACTTCATCTTGTCGTACATGTTACATGCATCCAGTTTGGACCGTCGGCGCATCGAAGTGATGTGAAGGGAACTTCCCAGTATGCAAAGACGTGGCAAGGCCAGGAGTCCTACTTTCAGAAGACCAAACATTGCGGAAAAACTGTATATATATTTTTGTGGAATTTCAGCTCAAATTGTTGACTGGGAATACTAGTTTCTTTTGTGTGAATTGCTTGATATTGAATTCTTATGTGCTTTGACGTTCACCTCTCTGACTCCTTTCGCACTAGTTCGAGTTTATTAGAAATCCTTGATGCTGGCACAGAGCAAATTGCAATCAAATTTAGATAGTCGCTTCTATGCCAACAGCGAGGTGACAACATCCAATCGGTGTTCCTCTTTTTTGTCAATCCACCCCACAGATGACTCAAATTGCATGCCATGCTCCCGCTTAATTGTCAAAGAGTGGAAGTGTGGGGCGGGCTTCACACACCCAATACCATTGATAGAGGCTTCTGGCTTATTAACACCTGCCACCTGGGCTCATTTACAGCTTTTTTTTTATGGGTTATTACTGGGTTAATGTGGGGGTATGTGTGTCTACACTCCCTAAAAGATTAGATCGTAAAATGCAGACATTATGCCAGCAACATAATGCTCATTTATGATCGAAATCCATAATAAACAATTAGAGTAATGGCTATTCAAACTGGCATTGACTGCAGATGGCATACCGTAAATGTTGTAAGTAGGCAAAAGCACCCAAAGCACATGTTGTCCCACCAAAAATGTATGTGTGCGCGGGAGATCCAAATGTTGTACGGTATAATGTCATCAAGGGAAAGGCAGGAGGTATTATTGTACTCCATTGAAGAGCTACTCAATATTTTTTGCGTAATTAATTGAATATTGAAGATAGACAGAATATCATTTGATGGAACAAGATGGTATCGGGGGTATGTACTCGTACTATCTTTGGAAACACTTAGAAAGAGATATTTATGCATTATAATCGAGATTATGGAAAGACATATTATATATTCTCTGTGATTACAGAATCAATGATTACAAGGATGGTATACGAAATCATTTTGTTAACAATAAGTTATTGTAAAGAGGATTTTGGTCCACATTTTCTCAGCAAGAGCCAGCTGCTTATAAGCATAGTACATAGGTATGTATATCTATACCCGTAAATATACACGAAAATAGCCATGAAATTGTCTGTAGAAGGAAAAGTCAGCCCGGCCAGCTCAAGAAGGCAGCAGCAAAGTGGGAACTGCAATTGGCCACTAAGTACTTTCCAAAGTCTTTTGCATGGCAGCTCACATAATTCGTGTTGTGATAGTCTCTCGGCCTCGTTTGAGCCAAGCCTCGCCCCAAACTGTTCTGGCTCTGTTACTTGTTGGTGCTGTGGATGTGTACACTGAGCAGAGACGTAGAAGTTGGCCCGAAAGGCAGACAGCAGTTTTCGGTTTTTGTGCCCAAAAAACATAATTAAGTGCTTGGCAAGTTGTTGGCTATACGGGAATTTGTCATAACATGGGCAAAGCGAGGGGAAATAGTGGATGGGGGATAGAGGAATGGGGACCATAACGAGCAGCAGAACCGTTGATAATGTACTAAGTAGTAATAAATTTTACTTTTATAACAAAACTACAAGCAAAGCAAAGAAAACTGAATCTGGGGGAGAAGGAGCGAAAACAAACCAGAAATCAAGAGCGAGTACTTTTACCAGGCGAAAAGTGAAATGGGTGCTGCCTGCCCTTTAACCCACCGCTCAACAAGTTGGCGAAGTTCTCGAAGAGTCCGCTCAGAACAGACAGAACGGACAGAGGCGGAGAGACAGCAACGTCAACCGTCAACCGAGCTGATGAAGTGGCAATGGCCAAGAGCCGGACTTTAGTTGTAGCTGGCAAGTGAAACGCAAAAGTTGAAATTAAATCAAACATCAAACTGAATCGCAAAGCCAAGAAGGGAATAGAACGGAGACGGAATAAGAGCCAGAGCCAGAGCCAAAGCCAGGACACAGCTCCACATCCCACCACCACCCTCTGAAACATGGCAACATGAATCGAAATGGGGCAGAGACCAAGTGCCAAAAGTGTTAGGAACTTTGTTATATTTCTGTTGATTTTACAAAACTGCGGCCGGGCACGCACCCAGCGGTCGGCGGACAAGCAGGCCGAGCAGGCGGGGCGTGATGGATTAGCAAAGTTGGAGTTTAGTGCCCAAAGCGTCCATCGGACTGGAGTGGGGGAAGAGGAAGCTCTCTATGTTTTTAATTTTGCAAAAATATACGAAACTTTATACGGGTATGCGCGATTGCTTCAGGCCAAATCCAACCACTCATCCGAGATCCAACAGAATGAAGGGCGTACTTTGCTCTGGCAGCCACAGCTCCAGTCCCCCGACAGACGGGTCAGTAGGAAGCCCTTCCATGTGCTGGAGCAACTGCAGCAGGACTTGGGCGACAAGCTGAAACGGACCACTACAGTGAAGCCTTTCAGTGTGCTGCGAAAACTGGCCCTGGAGCAGCAGAAGCAGGTCATGCAGTTCCAGAGGAAGTCCAATGCCAGCTTCCACATCCTCGAGGCTCTGGACATGGATCAGGAGGTTCTTGACAGAAGAACCACTACGACAAAGCCCTTCCATGTCCTGCAACAGCTGAGCGAAGATCTTGAGGAGGCGTACAGGCACACCACAACGATGAAGCCCTTCCACATCGTGAATGCTCTTATGGAGGAGTCAGCTAAGAAACAAGACCATCACCCAGAAGATGAGGCAGAAGAGGAAGAGGGCTTTGAGGTGCTGGAGCCCATCGTTGGGGAGGTCGAGCCGAGGCCGCAGCACAAGGACTTGCTCAAGGACCAGCACAAGGGCGTGCCCCAGGAGCAGGGTCGAGCCAAGGACAGTCAGAAGAGAAAGCGAAAGAGAATTCGCCGCCGAAGAAAGAGAATTCGCCGACGCCGGAAGCGGACACGACGTCGTCGTCGGAAGAAGCGCAAGAAGAGACGCAAAAAGCGGAAGAAGAAGAAGAACAAAGGCGACAAGGGTGATAAGAAGAAGAAAAGAAAGAAAAAGGGAAAGCGCAAGCGGAAGAGGAAGAAGCAGAAGCCGGAGCCAACCGAATCCCCTGGATTGGCCCTCTTCCAGCCGGGTCATGTGATCTTCGCAAATCCCACCAAACAGCCCCACTACTACCACCATCCACATCACGGCGAATATCCCTCCTATCCCCATCCCCATCAGTCCCCATCCATGGCAGTATCCACTGCCCTGTTGGCCACCCTTACCACTACAAAGCCTCCGACGACCACCCATCGTCCCTTCAGCAAGATTAAGTATCTCCTGCGGCACAACAGCCTTTTCAAGAAAAAGAAGAAGGAGTACCTCAGCCATGTGGGACAGGTGCTCTATCCGTTCGTCAAGTTCGTGGCCTTCTTCACGGTTCTCAATCCCTTCACCCTGGGCGTCTTTCTCTTCACGCTCGTCTCTCCAGTGGTCTTTGGCTTCCTGGGCTTTGTGGCCCTGAGTGTGCTGGTGAAACCATTCCTCAATCTGGTCTTCGGAGTTAAGCAAAATGTGGATGCCTTCGATCGAAAGCGTTTTCTCGCCAACAAAAGGGCTGAAAGACTGAAGCTGGGCCTTCGTCCCGTCACCATTCACAAACATTACTACCAGCAGAAGCCCGTGCACTCCGCGCCACCATTAAATCTGCGTCCTGTCGGTCACTGGCGCCGGCAATGGGGACATTTGCAGCCACCGCCACGGCCTTCACTCTCCCCACCATCAACACTACCAGCACCCCCCACACGAACTATGAAGCAACATTTCAATCCCTTACTGCCGGACCACCGCGAGGCCCTTGATATGGACTATGACTATGTTTAAGAAGCGTTGCGCTATAGATACTTAGATCATAACACCCTTCTTATAGCATATACGAGCTGTAAAGCATAAAATGACAGGAACACTATTTCTGAGAAATTATTAGATTGTATTTTCATTTTTCACTCAGCGTTTCCATTACTTTATAAATACAAATATTCATTAATTACTGGAAACAAAAACTAAGGTCTGTAGAACGGAAAGTTACTAATTTCGATGCGTCGGATGTTCCACTCCCAGACACACTCCAGGCGCATTCTCACCTCCATCCATCTCCAATGGAGGAATTGCCACTTTGGGTACTCGAGGGGCAACAACATATTATATTTTTCGTGGGTATGGTTGTTGGTGAGTAGCGTCTAAACTTGAGCGTGGGCCATTAAAATTAACATGTTGGTAAAGTGAAAATTAACTAGAACCAACCCGTCAGTGGGAAGCAGGACCCAGTAAAGACTGTTGGCGAAATCTAATTAAAAAGTTTTGTAAATTTGGGAGCCGCATATTGCTGCTGCTGTGGCTCACACAACAATACCAAGTTGCCGTGAATATTCCAACCAACTATCCACTATCCGTAGACTTTGTTGCGAATGTCCAAATCTGCGACCATCGTCAGGATCTTACCGTAGCCGCTCTGCTACGGGATGAGAAAAGCATGTCCGTCCTTTTCGTGTACAGGAACACGATGGGAGACACCTTGAAAATCACAATGTACAACAAAACAATCTTGGGAGCTACTATCCGGTTCGTCAGCTGCTCCTTTCACCAGAATAGATCGCAGTTTTTCAGCACGTAGCTATAGTGCATGATCCTCACCAACATCATCCACACAATGGTACACTTAGCGATACATTCGTGGCTCGGACGAAACAGGCAAAGATATACAAGGGCATACCCAGGATTTTGCGGAGATGAGCCGGATTTTTCCCATGCGTGACCCATAAGTATAGGGTTATATTAGGTTTGTGGTGAAAATGGATGTGTGTAACGTCCAGAAGAAAACGTTTCCGACCCCATAAAGTATATATATTCTTGATCAGCCCCCACAAAGTCCGTAAATCTCAGCCACCCACAATTTTAAAGATACAAGTAAACAAAAAACTAACGCAGAATCGTAGAGAATGACTTTATCTTCTAAACTGCAGAATCTGCACCAGATCGTAGCAGTATTATGGCCAGAATAAAGAAAAAATTTCATTCTCTCTCGCTCTGTCTCTCTCTAATAAACACGTTTCAAGGTCTGTCTCAGAGACTATAAGAAATAGAGCAACCATATTTGGTATCCATACTCCTGGGTTACCGATCCTTTACAAGTATATTTCAAAATTTCGCCCCACCCCCTTCCGCCAGCGAAGGAGCTCAACTCCGCTGCAGGGTACAGCAACAGAGAAGAATCGAGAAGACGGCTTTATTATATAATATGAACGAAGTGTGGCAAGGTACAGCTAGTATACATACATGTATGTATTAGTTTAAAGAAAATGAGTTCTGGTTAAAATCTTGTTTTTTGGAATGATCAATCAAACATCCTTTGTAGCTTTGTTGTAGCTAAACAAATATTAATGAAGATTACACTTCCTTGCTTGGAGCTCGAAAGGCTTACTTCCCTTCCACAAAGAAACCCAGCGAGGTGAGGGCCAATTATTAGTTGGAAATCATTTCAAGAACTTTTGCAGTTGATGCTCTTCTACTTCTGCTTCGTATTCTTATTCTTTTTCTGCATCATCCTATTGACGGCATTGGCACTTTGTTAACACAATGCACAGAACCAATATCAATTGCGCCTTTGCAATTTGCCATCGGTTTGCCAGCCTTCATAATGGAATCGAATCGCCTTGGGAACGCCACTTTGTGTGGCTCAAAACAAGTCGTTTGTCGCACAAGGAGCTGCTTCTACTTCTGCTTCTGCTTTTCCAATCGCACTCTCTGAATAGGAGATTGCTGGGAGTAGATTGCTGATGAGTGGAGAGGACTAGCAGCAGAGAGGAGCAGCAGCAGCTGCCATAGAAATACGGGAAAAGCGCCTTGCCATGCCGAGAGTGGCAGTCAGAGGCAGAGGCAGAGGCAGCAAATAGAAGAACGAGTAATAATAAATAAAATTGTAGCCAATTCATAAGGATTTTGCATTTTGTCGCTTCAATCAGGCAATGGATGGTCGGCCAGATGGTAAGAAATGGGAGTACTATGAGTGTCTGGATGTCTATGGAGCAAGGAGGAGGACAAGCGAAAGACTCGCAAACAACATTCATTCATATTTGCCAAGTGCCGATTGAAGCCGAGCTCTGGATCCCTCCTACTCCATTTCCCATCCCATGCTCTTTTTCATCCCCTTTTCAGTACCCTTCCCTAACCCTGCAAAGCACAATATGCGTATAAATAACGGATTTCCTGTTATAAAATATTTGTAACGACATTTTTACCCGATTTATGTTTCCCACATATCGATATTTATGTATGTAGAAAAATATAGGGTGAATATTTTGCAATGTGCGATGTGGATGTGGATGAGCATGTATTCCCTTCTATATACTCGTAGTGCCATGATAGGTTGCTCCTGCTCATGCTCCTGCTCGAAAGCCCTGCCAATCGCTGCCACTCAGTCATGGCTGACAGTTATGGCTATAAGGATATCGATGTGCCGGGTAACGTCTTTGGATTGCAGCTGTCAACGCAGCAGCAAATTTCATTTGCTTTAAATGTGCTCCTTATAAGTGGAGTCGAGAGCAGAGCGGTGGATTGATAATGCACTAACTGTGCATCACGCTGCAGTTGTATTCCGAGCTCCATAAATCACAGTCATGCACGTGCTAATATCTTTGAATACGAATAAACCCCAACCCCCAAACATAAATGGGTGGGGTTCGGTTTCATTGTTAGCGGGTATCTAGTAAAGCTAAAGGGGAAATAGGAGTGATGGGCAACTGAGATGTGGCGCCATACGGAATTCTCAGCGCATCGAATTCAGAAAGGTAAAGTAGGAGAAAGCACCTTGAATGATCTGCAAATTTAAAAACGAAAAAGTACTATATTAGTTAAAACCTAACCTGGAAAGCAATCGAAGCTTACCTTGAGTACTGCGGCCAGACTAACACGAAAGTACTTTAGACCAGTTATGAAGAACGGTCTCGAGTTCAGTTGGATGGCCAGGGTGACCAGCTTCATGAGCCTGAGATTCTCCTGACGATTGTTCGATTGATGGACCACCTGCTCCCAGTTCGCCGTGTAGTACATCAGGGCCAGATCATCCGTCTGTCAGACGCAAATTAAACCATAAATTTAGGATAACTGTGAAGGAATACGAGGTTTTGTCGTAATACCGTCTTGTAGAGTATAGAGCCAAGCGTGCCAAGGGATAGCAGTTCCATGAACTTGGCCAAGAACCACACAATGTAGACCACATTACCTAGTGGATTCTGAGGAGAGCGACAGAGTGGGATAAGAATAATTAGAAATGCTTTGGCATACCGTGTAGGCCTTAAAGCACAGGGCACACAGGAGGCCTGCACTGAAGGCGAACATCACAAAGATGCGGAAGCTGAACTCCTGTTCGATCTGTTCGCCAAATTCATGAAGGGCACCATTCCGACGTAGTATGCGGGTCAATTCCCTGCGATAACTGGCAGCCATCTCCAGTTGGTTGGCCTCCCCCAACAACCGCTGGGCACTACGCCGCAGATCCTGCCCCAGCTGAACGTAGCGGGCATTCAGGTGCATCATCATCTCGCCGAGGACGTTAAGTTCTCCAAAGAGCATGCTGGTGACGATGACGCCCACCCAGAAGTTGAGCCCGATCAAGGGGATAAGGTAACGGAGCTGGGTGTTGTCAAATGGATAGACCTGCTTGTAGAGCATCTCGCGGCGATGGTAAATGATATTCTGAAAGGGAACCAGCAGAAAGTTGAATAGGGCCAGCAGGTAGACAATCGAGTTAAGTCTCGTTGCCAGCATCTGAGATTGGATGTGGGCAAAAAGTTGCGGCTCCGAGTCTTTCTGGACGTAGATATCCTTGTAGAAACGCTGCAGCAGACTCCTGAAGCGATTTTTGTGCCAGGCCAGTTGAAAGCAGCGTATCTGCATCTCCACCAGAATCAGATAGGTGGGCATGCCCGTCAGAAAGTTGTCGATATCGTTCCGATTCACAATCAGGTAATGAAAGTCCACTTCGTTATGCTCGCAAAAGATCAGAAATCCAACGATGAGCACGAAACTCTCCAAATGCTTTGTCCAGCCAGCCACGCCCACCTCCAGGGGCCACGAGATATGATTGAGCTTCCGATACAGGGCCACAGGCCATGGCAGTGGAGCGAGCTCCCCATCCGCCAAACGGGGACGATAGCGAGTGCCTGACATATCCGGACCGGACCTCTCTACTGTGATGATTGACTACAGCCACTCGGATTGGATGGGAGCCCATTTATATTCTAATTCCGATTTCCGCCAGCGCCAGCCTGATGAAATATTAAATTCAAATATTCCTCAATGCTAAATTATTCAGTTTCATTTGCGGTCGTCAAAACAAACCCGAAACCGAAACCAAAACTCCAACCCCAAAAACCAATATTTCATTATTAATTCGAGTTTGTTTGGGGAACTCAAATCAAGTGCAAAAGTTCCAAGTTAATTGCGGATAATTATTAAAGCTGTGAAAGGTTCTCAAGCTTTTAGAGAAATATATATATGTATACATATATGTACATCCGTATGTACATATGTATGTATTTTGGTTTTGACCAGTTATTTGAGACCCGTAAGCATTTCCCAAACAAAACCGTATTAGATGAAAAATCAAGCAAAGTCAACAATGAGCTGTTTGAGATGTTTTATGTGCTTTAACATGGTTCAGCAGAGTTTCATCAACATCGGTATGACAGCTGCCATAGGAACAATGGATCTGCAAGGGTATTTAAGGCTTCGGCCCCCAAGCTAGGAATCCTTTCTTGTTATGATTATGACAAAATAACACTGACATAATTCCAATAAAAATGAAATAGCCGTAACACACTGACTGACAGTCCTGCTCGGCTTTTGTCCGGCAGGTGAACAAAGACCCACAAAACGAAGAGGCATGAATGGGATGGGGTATTAATGTTGAGCAGAGCTTCCTCAAGCAGCTCCCCAAAGTATGCACCTGGGAAGAGCACCTGTCCATGCGTGAGTGTGAGAGTGTGTGTTTGTGTATAGTCCTGTCCATACTCGTATCAAAGGGCGACGGAAAAGGCGTTGAAGCAGAGCAGATTCAATTCACTACTGTTGATTCTGCCCCTCGTTGCTGTTCTTTTTGTTGATAAAAGGATGAAGACCCAGCGGCGAAACTCAACCGGAGGAACCGGAGCAGCAAAGGGCCTCACAACAAGAAAAAAACCCCAAATAATATTAATATGCAAATTGAGTTTTTTAGTTGAGTGATCTAAGCGGATAACTGAGGACCAAGTCAAGGCGAACGAAAGCCTCCGGAGACCGACAGACAGACAGACCCAGACAGAGGGAGTCGGGGATTTGGAGGTGGCTCTCACTCTCTCTTTGGGGCACTTTGTTTTTGCTTTATTGATTGCCTGGGGGAATCCGGGACGACTTACAAACACATTCAAGCACGAGTACGTACTGCTTAAATGCGAGTTTCGAATCAATTGAAATCATATTTTATTAAACGTTTACGAGGCCATTTTCCACAGCCGCCGACGGCAAACTGAACACACACTGAACGAGACATCGAAATGGGCACCAAGTCAATACACATCTGGGTATATAAATCAGGAATCTGTAGCAAATATATGGGGACACGGACACGGACATCCACACCCACAGACACATATAAAAATATTTACAAGGAGTCATGCACCCACACCGCTGCATCCAGAACACCAGCGGCAAACGCATCAAATATAAATACATAAAAACAAGTAGAAAGATATGCTCGAAATTCCGACTAAGAGATACCTTATAGTCGGGAATTATTCAGCCATCGAAAGATGATTAAGTATCTGTTGTCTTTGAGGTCGGAAAGGTATCGTTCAGCCTTGCTCGGATTCAGCATTCCCTACCATTTTAGGCTACCGGGTATAACAATATATTTATAAATATCTATAGAGCCACAGGGGCCGTGCTATGAAATGGTGCTGATTCTCTCGCTTTTTTGCGTGGAAAACAAATTCGAAGAAAAATGGAAAACAGCCAGACTTAGATTGAAAGCAAACGAGCAATGGACCCACCCGGGCAAACAGATGGACCTGCGAAACGGCACGAACTAGGATAAGTAAACGGGAAAAGTAGGAGTACCTAGCACAGGAGCAGAAGCAGAAGTGGCACGCCAATGCTCAGGCTATGGAAATATGCCCGGAGGATTTGCCAAATGTCACGCAACTTTCTGCCAGATCTGCGGCAGGGGGAGCAAAGCCAAATACAGAACATCCTGCAAGCAATTGATTTATAATTACGGACACTACAAATGGTAGAAACGCGGACCGGGAGTGGGCTAACAAAAGCGGTTTGGTAAACTTACTAAATTAGCCAGGCCAAAACATGATGCTGAAAACTGTAACCGCCACTCCGAATCCGACTCCTACAGTTGTGGTTGCCCCTCGGCACTGATACGAGGCAGTGACAGTGCCCCCAAGTGCGTAATTTCCGCTGGGCAATTTTCTTGGTCTTCTTTATTTCCTTTCATGTTGTACCCTACCCCTACCCGTAAAACCTGTGGCACTCGGTGCGTATGAGTGATATCTTTCAGATTTTTTGTTTTCCACGAAATCTTCACTGCCAGTGGGAGTATCTATGTATCTGGTTTTGTAAAATGTATGCAAATTGGTTTATTTTCTTATGGCTGGCAACCAGCGAAGCCGTAGGCCGAATGAACCTGGACACGTGTGTCGCCTTTTGGACAAATGGTAAGGGGCCAGGGAATGTGGCGATGTGAAGCAGGGGACACCATTGTCTAGACATAATTGGGGACCTGTCCGTAGATCTAGTTAATATAATACAAGCAAAGAGATATATGAGATGAATACTTTGAGAGCAGGTAGAGAAGCAATTTGGAGCTGTATTTCCAAGAAAAGCAGAACGTAGATTTCTAAACATGTAGATGTACTACAAACTGTGATTAATTTTCAGATTAATCTGCACTGGGAGCGCACTGAGATGAATGTATCTATGTGTTGGTTGGATCACATCACGAATGCTGTGATAAGAGTTCATCAGCGTTGGCACCTAAGAAATTGGTGAGAGGGGTACAAAAGCGCAGATAGTTTACCATCTGTAAACATGGCTGCTAAAATCTATTCGATTCCCACTATTTTTCGACCCCCAAAATGCCATCGAAAATTTTGAGAAAAATTCAATCCATAAATATTCAGGTGAATTGAAGCTGCCAAACCATACAATATATAGTCGCTATATATTTAGGATCAATATCGAATTCATTTAAGGAGCACTTAAATCGCTATCATCTCAATAACAAAAGTAATATAGCCTTGGAAAACTAACGTTTCCTTGGCCCCTTCGTGCAGATTCAATCAAACTGAATAAACCCAGCCATTGACACAATCGTTTCATGATTCCCGGCCCTGGCCCCATCCCAATTATGAGCACACTCGTGCCCATACCCACTTAGGTGGAGACACACTGCGGCAGTCGAATGCCGTTGTCCTGGTCAACCAAATATTTATACACAATAAGCTGGTCGGAGCTTTTACTTTTCGGCTTTCCTTTTTGCCTCCGCAGTTTATTTATTTTCCCATCTATGAGTGCGAGTACGAGTACTTGTGTCGGTTTTGCCAGGGGCCAGCCACCATTAATGAAAAGAATATTTTTGCCCATTATGCGCCAATATGGTCCGCCATATTTCGGTTTATTTAATTTTGCGCAAATAAAACGGAAGTGGCATTTTTATTTTTCTCCATCTCCTTCTCCTCGTCGTCTAGTGGTGTTCTCCCTAGAACTCTTCCTGGTCGAAAATTCGTGCGCTACATAAAATTCTGATGTCGATGCCGATGCCGGGGCCAAACAAACTTGCGACAATGCTGGGATAGGGATGCTGGATACTGTACTATACTGGGATAGTGGATGCCCCATTGTGGGGCATTTTTTGGAGCGTATTTTAAACCAGAAATTTGTGCAGTTCGCTTTAAAGAGTCCTCTCTATGGCCGGGCACATCCGTTCGGCGCGCCAGTTGTGAGCTTTCCCATGCGCTGCTAAAAATGGAAATGGCTGTCATTTCCTTTGAAGCGGGAGACGTCCCGACCCACTCCCCCACACTCTACCACACTCCAACGCTCTCCGCTACGGCGAACACATCAGCCATTAATGGTCGAAATGAGTTTTCATGCTCAACTATTTGGCAGCAGCCGTTTTGAAGTTTGCAGCTTCTTGGCCAGGGCTTAAAGCGATGGGGATCTCTTCGAGTATGAATCTTTCGTCCATTGAAAAATTAATTAGTAGTATGGAACGCTCAGGCCCTGCCAATGGAAATGCGAATGCGAATACGAATGGGAATGGAATTGCTGCAGTATTTGCTTGACTGACGATTGCTGCAGTGCAACCACTGCCACTCATCCTCAATCATGCTGCTGTTCCTGTTCATGCCTGCTCTGCTCTGCCCCACCTGTTCCACCTACTCTTTCTACCCCTGTTCCTTATAACTTACGCAACTAATCTGTGCCGTGTGTGTGTGTGTGTGTGTGTGTGTTCTGTGGGTGTGGGTGTGTTCTGTAGGTGAGTTTGCGGGGGCATTTGCATTTAATCGGATTTGCGTTCTGGCTGCCCAGATTACAGGTTGTACTTCTGATTCCAGGAAAAGAAGAGGCGAGGAAGACGCACCAGACAGTCGATGCCCGAGCAGGCCAAAGTCCATTTGTTGTGCAATCCCAATGTAGGTATGTGTGTGTTGGCTGCATTGGCGGATGAGTGGACCACAGGCAGAACTAGTAAGCAAGTGGCATCATGACAAATTAACATGAGCAACCTGCCCCAGCCCCACTCTGGACTCCATTGTTGCTGCCTGTGTTGCGGCAGCTGCTGCTCCATTGTGGATGCTCTGTATGAGCGTTCACTTGGGGGCTTGCTGGGTGTCGGAGAAAACCTATTTATAAATGTTGGTTGCTCCTGGAAACTGGTTTCAATTAAGGATAGTTCATCGGAAAAGTCTACAGATTGCTCTTTACCTCAGCAGATACTCATAGTTTCAATTTATGATTTGTAGCCTTAGTAAGCGAGTAAGCAAAAACCAATTAGGGAAAGTCCTTCACCTACTTTTTGTCTATTTACTCCATTTTACAGGGTATCTGCTAAGCCCTGTGACCTGAGCGTAGGTAACGAACTGGAAATGCTCTTAGAATTTCCGCTTTATATCAAATATAAAAAATGACTGCTTTTAGACGTATTTGACAAAAGTTCTATGTCACTCACACTCCTCGGACTCTATCCTACAGATGTTCCTCGGCACAGAACTCCGTATAGA